TGGTTGTACTCTTGTAAGTTTTCAGTTGGACAGGAATATCCCCAAATTGTAAGAGTAGTTGAACAACTTGCAGAGAACAGGTGTTAGTTCGGGAGCACATTTCTCAAGAACAATTGGTGGGATTCCGTCGGAGCCACAAGCTTTGTTGGTGTTGAGACCCAATAAAATCTTCCTTATAGTACGATAGCGAAAGGTGATCTCGGGCATATGACTGTCAATTGGCGTTATGTTTGGAGGTTGATTTCCCGATGAATACAGAGTTTCCAGCAAATAAATGCACAAAAATGTTGGCTTTCTCCTGGGCAGTTGTGGCTAGTGTTCTGTCTTCCTTGGATGACAAACGAATCGCAATATTTCTTCAATTTCAAAATATTTTCAAATTGTCATTGCATGAAAAATCTCTACACCATGCTGGTATAACTCTTTATAACAAGTTACCCGTTAACATTGAAAATATTGAAACCTGCAGCAAATTCAATCAAGGAGTAAAAGCGTTTCTTATCGAAAATGCTCCCTTATTCTATGGAAGAATATATGAATATGTAAATCTCCATCAATGTTAGTAATGATCTGTTATACATGTGTCGTGTTTCAAACTGTTATGTCCCTTGCATCCATGTTAGTAATAATTTCTTTAAACTGTTACATTTCATCTATCTTCAAATAACAATTGTGTAAATACAGGGTCACATCATTTTCCATTGTATTGAAGTTCATATATATATACACTGTATATCTTACCTGATAATAAACTATTCTATTCTATTCTATATGTATGACAAATTGATATTCATCATACATAGCGTAAAAAAAATCTGGATTGAGAACACCCAATCACGAAATTTTTTCCAAGCCGCATAACTGACATATTGGGTGCATAAAAAAATCTGGGACACCCGGTATACTTATATCCGAACAAAGTATTCACTCTGTTTCCGGGAAAAAATCGTTTCATAAAAGCGACATTTTGTTAAAAAAATCCCGTCACCTGCCCACCACAATGAAAACAATTGATTGACATCATCTTATCCTCTCTGAAATGCTTTGAATTTGATATGATTCTCATATGAACCGTCACTCACCTGACAGCTATCAACAACTTCCAATGACAACACGAACTATTTACAGAAAAGTGAAAATTTGAGTTAAAAAAAACATCATTTATTAGGAGATAAATGCTTCTTGTATTTCTCTAATTATCGAATAGATTTCTTGTTTTCGCAACTAATGCTTTGTCTCCACGGGATCTACAAATCACCCCGGAGTATCATGCCTTGTTTCCTCACGAAACCAGAACTTTCTCCACCTGCTAATTCTGCTTTTTGCCAAATATAATTGATGGTTTTTCTTCGGGTCGTTAATTTTCTTTCATTGCCCGACCGTTCTTCGTAGTAGTTGCATTGTGTGAAATACAACACTTGATGGAATATTCCCCAGGTGTTTCTCGGCCTACTCATTGGGGATAGCTCACGGAAACAATGTCTAATTCCACGATCTAGAGCGATAGTTTATCCGTCATTCGACATTCATTTATCACACGGAATGACAGTTTGCATTGATGAATTAGAGGAACACGCTAATCTACATAATGATGGTTTGCTCGTACCATCTGTATACACTTCATACAACTACGCTTTGAATATTACTTCGAGGAGGTGAGATACTCTGAGGCTTATAGTAAATACATAGTTAAAAAGAGAGAGATTCAGGGCCGGTTTATCAATAGCCGATTTTATCCGATTGTTAGTTATTCATCAGATAATAGTAGTCAGTTGAAGTTCTAGTTTGGTTTTCCTTCTAATTTTCATCCACTAGTTAATTAACTCAAATGTTGGCGATAGTGATGAACAGATATAATGAATCTGATTGGTTGTCGGTTTTACATGGTTTTCTCCCGTTTTCACAGACCAATGGGATATAGACTAAAACTAGGTTAGAAATCTAACCTAGTTTTAGTCTATAACCTAGTTTTTGTTTAAGTTCTTTCAATAATATATGGATTTTGTGGGAAATGACGTATTAGATAGCAATGAGGACATAGATATCGTGAAAATTCTTCAACACGAACGAAGGCCTTACAGTGAGGAAAAGAGTGGATAATTTTGGAAAATGGGTTGACTACGATTTCACTGGATGATTCAAAAAGCATAAAAAAACAATATTGAAGATTCACTTGAATTTCGATAAAAGAATTTTTTTCATCACTGTTGAATATGGACCCTTTTTTCGTTATATCAATATTCTTATCCATATTATCGTTGTCGATACTACTTCAGAGAAGACGTTATGTAGTAAATTATGGGTTCTCCTGCAGTTATCTGACTTATTTGCCAGTTCAAACTAACAGACAGCTATAACACAGTTTAACTGCTGGATAAAATTTCATCTGATGTTGATAGACCCCCCTTTCCAAATTGACTGGCATGAAAACATTACCTGACAGATGAATTGCATTTGATAGACGGGTACTATGATTCTGCTTATATTTCCCTTGTGGAGAAGACATCACATCCTAAGAACCTCTGTGGAAGAACTAAGAAAATACCAAAGAATCCATATTCATTCGTCCAACTTTGCGCACACATATCTTGAAATTGTTTGAATGTCAAATCTGGGGATACGTGATCGGGAAAGATGTGATGAACATTCATTCATGTCATCCTGTTTCAACATCACAATGAAGTTTGAGTTGTCACGAATAAGTTGTTTATGTACTTTAGAATATATCCGCTCCAAATAGAAACAGTCCACACTCTTATGGCGACCCATGGAGAAATATAATATTTCTATACATCTTGTTATTCGCAAATGTCGTCTTTCTCTCTGTTAAGAATTCCGATTCGGGTCACAAAGCTCCCAAAAAGGATGAATCAATTTAGAATAACAGTAGATGTTATTGAATACTATCAATGTTCCGGATATTTACTTGTTGCTTCAATAATTGTGTGTTGATTGTTTTTTATTTTGACTCACACATATTCCAGAGGAACCAAACAACTTATTCGTGACAACTTCAACTTCATTGTGAAAACGGGTTGATCAAAATATTCTAATACATAATAATGAAGAAAATTGAACACTAATATACTCATTTTTGGTTTTTATCTCAAAATATTTCTAGTGAAAAATTGTGTGTTTCTTGTTGTTTTTTGTTTGTGGATCCAGAAGTTGAATCAGGTGGATAGCTTCACTGCCTAAAACTGTTCTTCCAGTTCTCCGTGTCAACTTTTATTTCGAGCCACCACAAAATCGCACTTACCTATGAACAATAAATGGAAGAACAATGGTCGTTCTCAGTCTTGATATCTCGTTCTCTATTCTCGAGATTTGGTTTTACAATGTTTGTAATCTGGTGATTTGTGATTCTAGAACCTACACAAACCAGTTCTGACCAAACTTTGAACCTTATGATATCTTCTTTTCGGTTCGAATCGCGAAGCTCCCGGGTGGCCGTCAGACCTTGAATCACCAAGATTTCAAATTTTCACAACCTTAAATTTTCATAATCCCAAAAAGATAGAACCCATATTTGACAGTGTGACATATTTGTGGTTTCAAAGCCAAGTCAAACCAGTTTCCATGAAATTTGACCCGAATAGTAGTACTGCCAACTTAGTGAATTCGCCACTAAACTGGTGGTTTCGACCAACTCCCTTTTAGTGGCGAAATATTGCTTTTATTGACTGGTGGATTTTTTCATTAGTTGAGTAGAATTCAGTTTCAATTGCTAAGAATGCGATCATTCAGTCACGTTTCGAAATATCTTATTTATACATTATCTAATTTTCAGAAGTATTTACTTTTAGTATGTAGTTGATACTGCAAGTCAGATTCACGTGACATCAAACAAACCATACACTATTGAAGCAGTGGTAGTTCCTGACCTCCACTTGTTTATTCATTGGTTGTATGTAGATTGTCGATTGTTTTTATCTGGCGCAAACATATTCTAGAGTACCCAAACAACTTATTCGGGACAACTGCAGCCAACTTCCGATTCGAGCCACCACAAAATCGCTCTGACCTATGAACAATAAATGGAAGTGCAATGGTAGTTCTCACTGTTCTCAGTCTTGATGTTTCGTTCTCTGATGACGGACACGATTGAAGGGAGGTCTAGAATCTTTGTTATCTGGTGATTTGTGATTCTAGAACCTAGACAAACCAGTATCGACCAAACTTCGACCCTAATACTTTATCTTCTAGTTTCCGCGACGAATTCCAATCCGAACCCAAGAGCTCCCGCATGGCGGCAGCCGAGGACATCGTGCTGGAGTGCGCCCTGTCCAAGGGCAGATTCATGTCAACCTGTTTAAACATCACAGTGATGGTGTTATCCCGAATAAGTTGATCTGGTACTCTAGGGTATGTCTGCGTCAGATAGAAACAATTCACACTCTCATGGCGATGTCCATCGAGAAAAAAGATCTTATTATATCTTGTGTTTCGCTAATGACATCGTTCGCGAAGAATTCTGAGTCAAGGCACAAAGCTCTCGGATTGCCACTGAACTCTGAATTAACATATCACATTTTGTTTTCTATTCTTATTAGTCATTTTGGTTGTTCATTTAGACATCTGTGTTGAAGTGATAGGAATCCTTAAGGCAGAACTCTTTGGATATACTGAATTCGGTGTAATTTCATTCATCGGCAAATTTAGGTTAACGTACATTGATATTTGAGACCTACGTGAAAGTACGTAGGATAACACGTACACCTGTAAGCCCACTACTAATGTCAACGTGAATAATTAAGAAATCCGCATACGTACCTGTCATTTCACGTGTACTTTAACGTTCATAGCAGAACTTCAACTCTCTTATGTCACCAATGAGCAAACATGCTATAGAACAAGATAATGAGAACTTAATCTCTTTCAAATCCTTAAAATTCACATGAAATCGTGGCAAACAGACAATGTTGCCAATATATTTGTGGTTTCGGAACCTAAACAAACCAGTTTCGACCATACGTTGCTTATAATATCTTCTTTTTCAGTTCTCCGCGACGAATTCCGACTGGAGCCGCAAAGCTCTCGCGTGGCGGCAGGCGAGGACATCGTGCTCGAGTGCGCCCCGCCCAAGGGCACGCCCGATCCGCAGGTGTTCTGGCGCAAGGACGGGCAGGCGGTGGTGGTCGAGGGGCGGCTTAAGCTCGTGGACGGTTTCAATCTGGCCATCACGGATGCGAAGACGACCGATGACGGGAAGTACCAGTGCGTGGCGAGGAATACGGCGGGGGTGCGCGAGTCAGCGGCAGCTGTGCTCAAAGTGTTTGGTAAGGGATGTGTTTTTTCGTTTGTCATTGTCCAATATAAATCATCGATTTTCAACATCCTGTATGAGGAATATGGAAAATTAAAAAACCGTTTCGAGATATTGGCATAAACATTCGGAAGAAATGCTCAATAAAAAAATTAAAAAAAAATCCCTCGAACACGGAAGCGTTTGAATTTTTTCAATCATGTAATACGTTTTTCGAACACTTGGTGTTTAATGTCAGAAAAACTTCCGACGAGTTTTGAACGAGGAATCCTGAACAGAAAGATCGCATATTCCAAGCACTGCATTCCGATTGGAAATCCATTCATTTTCTAAAAAGATATAGCAGTTTGATAATTGTCAAATATTTCAGTGGTCCACTTGTTCCTATGAGCACTTCATATGGCACCAATCTATTGAAAAATATGGTGAAACCTTAGCTGTGGCACTTGTTATCTCCAAGGTATTCAGTTGAGTCTGGCACCACGGACTCCTCGCCATCGAGCTTTCATCTTAATGGCTTGCCTCCCCAGCTATGTTCTCTGCTAGCTAGTTTTCTCTCAAACAGGTCTCTCCATGTAGTGATTGACAGGATCCAATAACTTGGTAGATTGCAATGCAAACAAAACACAAGCAAGCCTTTTCTCTAGAAAATCCGATTTCACTGTGCCCAACATAAGCTTGTCAGGAGTAACCATACCTTTGAAGACATCCATTTCGATGCTTGGTATCACTATCAGCAATAACCTTCCTTGGGAAAATAACGTGAGATCAATTGCTAAAAGTGTATCCCAAAAACTTGGTCTTCTGTTTCGGGCCAGGAGCTATTTCACTTCCAGTCAGCTGCTTATGATCTATAAGGCACAGATCCGCCTGTCCTGGAATACTGTTACCATATTTGGAGTGCAACACCCAAACATACCCTGAAACTGTTGGATTCTGTTCATAAAAGGGCAATTCGTCTCGTGGGTGATGACTCGCTCAAAAACTCACTCACTTCTCTCGAACACCGTAGAAAAGTGGGCGATCTGGCTCTATTTTATAGATATTTTCATGGACGATGCTCTTCTGAAATATCGACAATTGTTCTTCCCTTATTGGCAGTCCCCGCGAGATTAACTCGTCGAGTTGAGGCTTCGCACCCCTTCGTGGTCACTTTGAAGACCTGCAGAACATCTACTTTCCAAAGACTCGTTCATCCAACGAACAGCGAGGCTCTGGAACACATTGCCAAGGAAGATGTTCTCCGAGGCATATAACCTCCAGAAATTTAAGAAGAACACCAATTCCTAGCTTATTTCCTTTGGTTCTCGTTCTCACGAAGTTCTCTGAACATTACAGGGTATCCCTTTTCGTGGGAACCAGAACTTATAATCTCCAAAAGTTCAACAAAATACCAATACCTAGGGAGGATAGGAAGAGGAGGTCTCCCTATCCTTCCTAGGTACGCACGATGTTTCTCGAACATTATAGTGATTCCTTTTCGTGCGTACCAAGCGATGAAAAATACAAGTATATCGAACTTCTGTCATGTTAATGAAACCAAGAAATATTTCAACACATTTTCATTTTTTGGGCTTGGCATTGATTTAACTGCTTTGGCCTTCGAGATGTGTGGTTTGAGTCTCTCTCTGGTTATTAGGTGACCTAAATATTCAACTTTCGACTCACAAATTCTACATTTTTGTTTATTAAATTTATTTTTTTTTCCTCGCAATATCTAACACTTTTTTAAGTCTCATGTCGTGTTCTTCCTTCGTTTTCCCACTAATTAATATGTCATCAATGAATGTGTGAACCCGTTCTATGTTGTAAATATCCCTAAACCTATTGTGAAAAATTTCCGGGGCGGATGAAATTCCATATGGAAGTCTCAAAAAACGATAACGCCCAAATGATGTGTTGAAGGCATACAACTTAGAACTTTCATTGTCTAATTTAATTTGCCAAAATCCATTGTTTGCATCTAGAGTAGTGAAATACTTGGCCCCCGCCAACTTGTGAGGAATCTCATAAATTGTAGGCAAAGGAAAATACTCTCGTTTGATAACTTTATTTAAATCTTTAGCATCCATGCTAATGCGAATATCACCATTTGGGTATCTTACAAGTACCAGTGAATTGGCCCACTCTGTAGGTTCTTCTACTTTTTCAATGATTTCACTCTTTTCCAACACTTCTAATCTTTCTTTCAGTTTATTATATAGTTGGCAAGGATACTTTATTTCTAGGGGCATGAACAACAGGGTTCACATTTGGATTAATTTCTATTTTATAAGGTAGGCTCAAAAATCCTGTACCATTAAAAACATCTATATATTCTTTTGTTAAATCGTTACTATCTACATTATCGACTCTTTGTATCAAATTGAACATCTTTATGGAGTCTGAACCTAGCAATGAAGGAGTCCCTTCTGTCACTGCTTGTCATAGTGTCCGTACTCTTATTACTGCAAAACTGTCAAATACATACAGGGACTCTAATGTACAGTGTGTCCAGTTTTCGATGCTTTTGCCTGATATCTCAGTTATCTTTGGAGATAGAACCTTGCGGTTTTCGCGGTCCTGTGCCACTTTTTTGTGAAACTCAAGATGGCCTAATCAGATTTTGCAAGACTGTTTCCGTTTATAAGAAACAGGGCGATTTTGAAAATTTATACTTTTTGGACCCCCTCTATATCCACGAAGTTTCTCAACAAAAATGTCAAATCAAAATCTTATCGCATAGAAAATTTCACGCATAATCCAGTGGCGCACTAAAATTTTTTTTTCGGGGTATGGTTTTGGAGATACGACTCAAACTTATGATTTTTTAAATGAAACACCCTGTATTTCATAAGCTCATTAAATTCCTTATTTTTTTGTCTTCAAAATGATATCTAACGAATGAATATAAAATTCTCAAAATTGCTCAAAATCACTAAAATATTGAATTTTGATAGTTGGTTATGGATTTTTCTTATGAAAAACGTTCCAATTGAAGAAATATTTCTTTAAATTTTTCCATGGAAAGGTCAAAACCAATATCAACACTTATTAATTAACAAAACACTAAACTTGGGTACCTGATAGCAACAAATAAATAGTAATATGAAGTTCATAATGTAGAATAGGCATCTGATTAAATATTTACTAAAATAATTGAATTCCGGAATTATTCAGTAACTTATTCATCGACATGTTCAAATTGATATCCATTTTCTCCAACATACAGTTGACAAACTTTCTCAATACTTCTTAATACAGTGAGTGGCCCAACATACTTGAAGAACTTTGTGCAACAAAAGAGGCAGTTTTCCAGGAATTACAAAGACATCTTTCAATGATTGATATGAATTGAGAAAGTTTGTGATGAAAAATGGACATCAATTTGAACAATTCAATGGATAAATCACTGAATAATTTCGAAATTCAATTGTTTTAGTAAATATTCAATCAGTTGCATATTCTACATAATAAACTTTTCATTACTAGATATTTGTGGATATCAGGTATCTGAGTCTTGTGTATTGCAAGTTGATTAGTGTTGAAATTGATCAATCAAAGGAAATGTTCCTTCAATTGTAAATTTCTTTATATGAAAATCCCTCGAAAAACCCATGGCCCACTATTAAAATTCAATGTTTTAGTGATTTTTCAACATTTTTGAAGATGTTATATTCATACATCATATATCATTTCGAAGGGAAAAAAATAAGGAATTTGATGAACCTATAAAATACAGGGTGTTCAATTTAAAAAATCATAAGTTTGAGTCGTATTTTCAAAACCACACCCCGAAAAAAAAATTTTTGTGCGCCACTGAATTCTGCATAAAATTCTCTATGGGTTGACAATGACATTTTCGCTGATAAACTTCGTTGATATAGAGGGGGTCCAAAAAGTATAAATTTTCGAAATCACCCTGTATCTCATAAACGGAAACAGTCCTGCAAAATCTGATTGGGCCATCTTGAGTTTCACAAAAAAGTGGCACAGGACCGCGAAAACCGCAAGGTTCTATCTCTAAAGATAACTGAGATATCATGCAAAAGCATCGAAAACTGGACACACTGTACTCTGAGGAGCCGCTACTAAACCTCGATTATTCCTTGTTACAGTGAAACCCTTCATGATCCGCCCGCCGGAGGACACCGTCGCCCTGGTGGGGGCCAGCGTTGAGTTCTCGTGCGCCACGGGCGGAGACCCCATCCCGGACGTGCTGTGGCGCCGTACTGCCCTGGGCGGCACCATGCCCCTGGGCAGGGTCAGGGTGCTCGAGGACCGCACGCTCAGGCTGGAGCAGATCACCCTGCTGGATCAAGGAAGGTGAGAACGAAGATAATGTTATTTATTTATTTTTACATAGGAGTGGGTGATAATTTTTGTCGGTTCCTCGACCGAAAAGATACATACAGGGTGTTTCAAAAAAACCTGACTTCCTTGCTAGGGTAGGTAGAACACTGCAAAATAAGTTGGGTTTGCTCAGTGAAAAAATGTCGTAACGGCATCCGTTTTCGTGATACAAGGTGTTCAAAAAATGATTTTTTTACACATTTTTCACGATTATGTCGAAACTACTGGCAACATTGAAATGAAATTTTGTATGGATGTTTCTTGGAATCTGACACATCGCATGAATTTGTTTTTATATCTGACCCTCATAGAGGGCGCTAGTTACACGGTTCGTATCGAGCAGTTTAGAACATAATAACATTTTTTAGGTTAGATTTTTCAATCCAAATATGATATGAGCTTGAACATCATTCAATTTTACATCAAAAAGGTACTCCTGGTGGAACTCGATACCATGTTCCGTTTTCGGAATATTTCGATTTGAAAATAATGGAGTAATAGCTGATGCTGGTATAAAATGCATTTTATTGAGTTCAATTACCTATTTATTCAGATTTAAAAACAATAAAATCATTCTTGTGCTCAAGTTATTGATGGAACAAAGAATCATAAGTAGAAAATTAAGAGATATTTGACTAGAAACATAAAATATTGAATCAGTTAGATCATTGTCTGCTAAATATGGAGGAAAAATCTAGTGAGCTGGAGTTAGATTAAGTGTTCGAAATGTCCTACGTTTCGAAGAATTCACGATTCTATATTCTTTTCTTAAGAATGTATTTTCTTCTAAACAGTTGAGGATCAGCTGTTAGATCAGGTGAGTGATGTTCAATTATGACTTACAGCTCTTGACGTGAATTTACCTATGTAGCATAGACTTTCTGCTCAAGATACAACAAAACTGTGTAATCCGGTGTAATCCATGTTCTTAGTCAAATCTGTTTCAATGTTATTCTTGTGATTCATTGTTAAGTCATTGAGTTTAGCATCAGAAATGTATTGTTGTTTTCGATTTTCAATGAATAGGTAATAATTTGTCATAATACTCACTCTAATACATAGCTTTATACCAGCAACAGCTCGAGCAACAGTTATCACTTCATCATTTTCAAATCGAAATATTCCGAAAACGAAACACAGTATCGAATTTTATCAAGAGTACCTTTTTGGTGTGAAATTGATTGATGTTCAAGTTCACATCAAATGTGGATTGAAAAATCTAACCTCAAAAAAGTTATGTTCAAAACTACTCGATACGAACCGTGTAACTAGCGCCCTCTATGACAGTCAGGTATAAAAATAAATGCATGCGATGTGTCAGATTCGAAGAAACATTCATACAAAATGTCATCACAATGGTGCCAATAGTTTCGACATAATCTTGAAAAATGTGTAAAAAAATCATTTTTTTCAACACCTTGTATCTTGATAACGGATGCCGTTACGAAATTTTTTTATTGAGTAAACCCAACTTATTTTGCAATGTTCTACCTACCCTAGTAAGGAGGTCAGTTTTTTTTTAAACACCCTGTATAATAATGAAGATGATGGAAAGCCCTAATTTCGAGTGACAATGGGAAATGAAAAAACTTCACCACCCCGTGAGTTCGACTCTCACACGGGGCAGTGGAGTTTTTTCATTTTCCATTTTCACTCGAAATTAGGGTTTTCCATCATCTTCATTATTATATTTATTTATTTGCCAATATAACCCTGTATAGCCTTGTATAGGATAGTAGGGTTGTTAAGGGTTTGAGGGATGGCAGTTGTTTCTTGTCAGGAGTGACAGGATAGTTTTTCTTTGAATCTCGTCGGAATAGTTAGTTGTCTAACTAGGCAGCAAAGTAGTAGATTGACTGCCGAGGCTGAATTCATAGCCGAGCGTAGCGAGGCTAGGAATCCTGCTAAGGCAGTCAATCTACTTTGCTGCCAAGTTGAACATATAATTTTTTCTCCGATTGTTCATAATGATATAGGAGGATATTGCAATTGCAAATTATTACAATTCCCACAATCTCCTTATTTTTCATGTAGTGTTCAAATAAAATGAAATTTGATAGAAATCGCAGTTGTCCATGATAATTATAGTTTGACAATTCATGAAAATTCTGACAGTTGTGCGAAAAAATATCGGTATATTCAAATTATTATATAATGGACAGTGATAGCGACCTGGAAGTACTTACACCTCCAGAAATAAGGGAGGTGGCAAAAAATATAGAGTTGAATTTGTTGCCGGATTGATATGTGACAGCAAAATTAATATTTGCTGCCAATCGGAGAAAAAATATTTTGTAGTTTTCAATATAATAAAGTTTTTCTACTCACATAGATGACATTTAGCGTACTGATATGTACCACGCTAAATGATCGATAAATCACGGATTGACGATCTAAATACTGTATATTTGTGACACAAATACAGAGATAGGTTCGTGAATGCCCATGCAGAAAGGCACACTCGTCAGGAGAAGAAACTTGTTCTTTCGTTTTCCACTTCCACCCTGATGCAACAATCCCTAATTTACAAAAGCAAACAAATTTATAATCATTCACCCAAGGTGATAACAGGCATAAAAAACATATAAGGCAATTTGGAAAATTTGTCAAGATATTTTTCAATAAAAATGTTTTTACTCTCTAGAGGAATACTTTGCATGTGAGTTTTAGTCTTTCTGTCAACTGTGAAATGCGTAGAGCGTCTGATTTATACTTTTAATGTGTTTTGTTCTTCGATAAACGATACGGTACATCGACAGATAGGAGATATGGCAAAAAATAAAACGATTCAATAAAAAATGTATATGATTAGATTTTATTAATATAACTCGATTGGAATCGAATATGATGGGTGTCCTGCACATAACTACAGACCCGTAAAGGATTATCTTCGCCATCGGTTTGGAGAAAATCTAATAACCTCGATGGTGGTAGCAACTGGCCAGCTCGGTCGCCAGACCTCACCCCACTTAATTTTCATTTGAGGGGCCACTTTAAACAACAGGTTTATGAGTCGCCAATTGTGAATATAGGAGAAATGAAAGAGAAAATCACAAATTTATGCGCACAAATTGATTGCAACGTGATACATAGGGTCACAATGAACGTTTGCAGCAGAATGGACGACATTGAGCAGTTGAGGTTTTAATTATTTTCTTTTCATTTGATTCCAATCGTGTTATATCAATAAAATCTAATCATATAAATATTTTATTGAATCGTTCAATTTTTCACCATATCTTCGTAGTCGTTTGAAAAAATCTCATTAAACCCGGCATTGTTGAATTTGTAATAATGAACTCTACTTGAATATGGAACAATATACTGGGTGTCCATATTCGAATAGGAAAATTTAGGTGCACTTCGGTGTGACCCTGTATACCTACGATTCATTCAATAGCATATTCCGAGTGAGCATCATCAAATATACCGGGTGACCAAATTTCAGATGTATACTCAATTTGAGTTCGGATCACAACCACAATCTATCTCTTTGTTGTAGATATTTTTGTGACGCTGACAACTTCGCCGGAGCCATCACTGCCTCTGCCCTTTTGACGGTTCACGCCCCACCCTCATTTGCCGCTAGACCGCAGGCGCAGACGGCCGAGACAGGACATGACGTCACTTTCCAGTGCACCGCTCAGGGCAGCCCGGCGCCCTTCGTCTTCTGGTCCTTCGAGGGTGACAGGGCGCTGGTCTACGCGGGCTGTCCCTTCGGCAACTACGAGGCGTTCACCAGCGTCGAAGGGCACTCCACTCTCATACTGAGAGACGCTCAGGTAACCAGAATGTTCCCAGAATGTTCCTAGAATGTATCTAGGATGTTCTAGAATGTTGGAGAACACGTGCTAGTGAGTTTCAGAATGTTTGGGTGTGCTCCAGAATGTTCAAGACAGTTTTAGAATAACTACTATGTCGTGAAGATGACTTTGAGTATTATTCAGTAGTTACTACTTCACTACACCACTACACCCCTAACAACACAGGGATTTCCTAGGCACCTACGTCCCTTTTTTGTCCCGCGTTACAAGGACATGATTGGGGCATCCAGGGGATGTCGCGCAGTGGTTGTCCAGTGGACATCCAGCCCGGTACATCCCTAGGTTATCCGATTCGTGTCCCTGGAATATCTGATATCCATTCACATCAGAGTCATTGAATTTCATCAAAGTATTAAGTAGCATTTTTTTTGAAAATGTTTGTTTTTCTTCCGGAAAATAATCGTAATGAAAATAAAGAATAAAGTTTCAGAACTTCTAAAGAAATTACCAGTTTTCGCAAACAGAAATCGTACATGCATAATGCCCCTCATTTTTGAACACCCAAGAATGATATAATAATTATACCCAAATCCTAACAAACTTGTATTTATTCAGGTTTCTGTAGTTAAGTCCTGTTTATAAATCTGTTTAGTACATAAATCTTCAGGAGGCTCAATAGCCAATGGAGTAAGATGCGTACCTGATAAACCAAAGGTCCCGGGTTCAATCCGTACTCGACCTACATTTTTTTTCTTTTATCGAAGGGATGTCCCTGGGATATCCTTGGGACGTCCTAGGGACATCCTTTCTTTGTACTTGGTACATCCCAGGGACGTACCAGAAGGACATCCCTAGGATGCCTCTTTTTGTGGAAAGCAGATGTCCCTGGGACGTCCCTAGTATGTACCATGTCCCAACACAGGATATCCCAGGGACGTCCTCGTAGAAAATGAAGGACGTTCCTGGGACGTACTTGTGTTGTTAGGGACACTCCGAGAATTTATGGAATCATACCAAAGATTGAGTTATAGAGTGTTCAGGAATGCTCCGTGATGTTCTATAGAATATCCTAGAATATTCCAGAATGTGAAAGATTGTTCGATAATGTCCTACAGAGGACCTTCAGGTGATCAGTATGTTCCCAGAATGTTCCTAGAATGTTTCTAAACTATTCTAGTGTTCAAAAATCTTGTAGAATATGTTCCGAAATGCTTCAGAATCTTCTAGGAGATCGAGTGATGTTGTAGAATGTCCCAGAATGTTCGAAAATGTTGAAGAATGTTCATTATAATCTGCTAGAATATTTCAGAATATTCAGGAGTGCTCCGGATTGTTCTGTGATGTTCGAGAATCTCCCAGAATTTTCGAGAATATTCCAGGATATCAAAGAATGTTCTATAATGTCCTAAAGAAGTTATAGAATGGTATACTACTTCTGAGCAATTTCTGTGTTCATTTTTTGAACTCACATTCACTAAGTGCTTGTCTATATATAAGGTGCTATATAAAAGCTGAATGGAAGAATATTCCAGACAGAGAGATAAAAATTTATGGAAATACAGTGCAATCCCTGAACTTCCAGCTAGTCGTAACAAAGGTAGTAAATGTAAACGATCTACATCAAAGAAGAATATGGATTCAGAATTACTGTTAATAAAAATAAATTCATGAGTCGATGGCTCGTATTATGTTGAACTTTCGTGAGATATATACAATATATATATACAAATATTCATCAGATGGTAGTGAAGAGTATGTAATGCGTAATCTATCACATTATGCAATCTACAATGAGAAACAAGTTCCCAAAATGTCATGAGAATATCCAGAGAAACTTCCCATTTCATCATTATCGTTCGACCTCATAAACAATGATACAATGTAGGATAAATTCTAAGAGGAATCTGAGCTCGGACTTATAACTTATTCAAGTACAGACATATTGTAGCTCTACATATAACATTCTCCTCTGGATATTATGTTAGGAAAAGGAACTAATTTATTTTGGGTTATGGCTAAGAAATAATATGCAGAACACGTGGTAGCCATATTGACCCACCAATTACTTTGCTACTCGTGATAGTATTGAGTCATTTTCACCACCTGGATTGTGAAGCATATAATAATACAGTAAGCCCCTAAAGGTTGGAATGAATTTATTGAAAGCTTTGATATGGCCATTGGGGAAAAACAACTCATACACCTCTTTCTCAGGTGAATATTTGTTGGTCTACTCAAAACACGGTAATATGATATGGAAAAAATAAAGAAAAAATATGACGTCCATATACTAAAAATTCGTATTTTTTTGGAGTTATGTTCCAACCTTTACGTGTTCACTGTATATTATGAGTGGGCGACAATGATTTTGGATGATCGAATATTTATGATCACAATGTATCGATATTATCGGTGTATCGAACCAAAATTGTCGATATTTTCGAAGTTATTGATAATATCGATATCGAATCGATATATATCGATATTATCGATAATTCTCTATGAATTATCGATATTATGGATATTATAGATATGTTTTGCATTAAAGTACCCTTAAAGGAACATTCGGCTTGCTACTGGTAAAAAGCGAACTATACAAGGTGTTTTCATAATTGAATGTCAATATTCAAGGAGGCTATTCTTAGGCCCATTCTAAGAAAGTTTCATATGAACGTATGACCTTAACGTTCTAACTTTTGAGATACATTACTACAACTACTGTGATATTTTATTTTCATTCGTCGGCGTTATAAAAAGCCGCCAAAAAAATATTGGAAAAATTGGGAAAAAAACAATACTCTGTAGGTCCATAACTTAAATAGGATCATACAACTTTTTCACAGTAGTAGCAACTGTTATCAAGTGACGTATGGTTTCCATAGCCAACTTTTCAATTTTTGGCTTTCATTTTGCTTCCACGGCCTACTCGGTGAATTTCAATAATAATTTTTTTCTCATCTAGTTTCTGGTTAGATACCAACTTGTGATATGTCATTATATAGAAAGGGAATTGAATGCTGAATAAAGCGAAAAAAAATAGGGTTTCCATTCAAAATAATAAAGTTGATATTACTTCCGGTCAGACCGGAAGTTAACTTCGACATGTCAATATGCTCAAATTCTAGCTCATGTCATTATATCGACGCTTCAAATTTCACAAACCTACTTCATACAATAACTGAGATATTCCGTAGGCAATACTTCCGTAGCCACCCGGTATATATATGTTATAATTGTAGAAATACGTTTCACTTTGTACTAATACTGTTTGTAGTTTGATGAGAAATTATGTGTCGCTAACGAAATGAATAATCAGATATTAATTCAATTATAACAACTGGAACCTATAAATTCTCCTTCATTCCAGATACATGATTCTGGGACAGTGATCATCTGTTCAGCGATAAACGCTGCCGGATCTATATCATCCAGAACGAGACTGACGATAACTTCTAAAGAGGACCGCCCACCACCTGTCATCACCGCAGGCCCAGTCAACCAAACTCTCCCCATCGACTCGGTTGCCATAATGACCTGCGAAGCTCAAGGAAACCCGAAGCCAATCATCCTGTGGTACAAAGAAGGAGTACCTGTCTCTCCCACCCAAAGAGTCAACATGTCCAATCCCACTCACCTGCAGATCCACAATCTCCAGAAGAACGACACAGGACCCTACACCTGCGTAGCCTCGTCTCGCGGCGGAAAAGCTACGTGGACCGGGCACTTGCTGGTGGAGAACCCCAAGAACCCCAACATCAACTTCTTCAAGGCCCCGGAACCGGTGATGTTGCCTGGCCCGCCCAGCAGACCACACGCCTTGAACCAATCGGAAGGCAGCGTAACGATCACGTGGGGACAGAACAACAAAATAGGATCGTCGAGTCTGCTGGGCTACCAGATAGAGCTGTTCGGACGCGAGGAAGGGGTAACGCCTACTTGGACCATGGTGGCGCGTAGAGTACCTGGCCCGACATTCACTCAGCACCTGTTGACAGCTGGAGTACCTTATACGTTCCTGGTTCGGGCAGAGAATGGGCATGGTCTCGGTCCACCTTCACAGTTTTCCGAGCCAATCGTTGTGGGTCCCGATTCGACTCAGAACTGGGGGAATCCTGAAGTAACGGTACTAAGTGAGGCTCGAGCGAACTTAGTTTCTTCCAACATAGGCAAGCTTGAGGAAGCTATAGCTCTGAGCTCGACGTCAATCAAACTAGTTTGGATCATATCAGACTCTACTTTTGTTGAAGGATTGTATATTTACTACATATCGATTGATGAAGACCCCAACGTTCCTAAAATTTATAGTATGCTGACAGTGCTGCACACTGGCGACACTTCGAGCTTCACTGTGAATAATTTAGATAAATGGTCGAAGTACGAGTTTTTCCTAGTGCCTTTTTTCAAGACTGTTGAAGGACATCCCTCCAATTCCAAGACAATAAGGACTCTAGAAGATGGTGAGGAAAATGTTTATTTCACTTTCTTATAGTACACAATAACTATTTAGTTCAAAAAGTACATCCCATAGACTTGAAATTCCATTCATGAAACTAATTTGTTCTGCCCCAATGATTCCATGAGGACGACAAGGAATACTAATCGGACCTCTTTGTCAAATAATTACACTTACCTCGTTATGGCATCGCCGTTACATTATTGTGGATATTGTTAATAAATAGGTATTTGAACTGTTGAAAGGAACATATAGGAGGTAGATTGTCTGGTTTTTTGCACACTTCAGCACTGATAGACCATTTCATACTGGGATTCACGAATAATTATGAAAATAACTAAACAAAATGTCAAACTACCCTTGAAAATCACGTACCTTTTTTGTGGCAACAACAATGGCTACGAGAAATGCCTGAGCTGTCAAACTGCATGATATCGACTCGGGCTTTTCCAGTATCGTAAAATTTGAACCTTCTTCGCTATGATGGTATGAAGAGAAGTCAAAAACGTCATCCTGGCCACACAATTATCAAAAAAATCGAACAACAAATAAACTACTATTTCAATACCGCTACTGGGGTTCTGATGTCAGTGCCACCTTGCAATTTGATTGGTTGGAGATTGTGATGGCTGCTGTTGCCAGAGGTCTCTATGAAATCCTTGAATAATCTTATATACGTGCAAGATGGTGCAAGATTCGATATTACACAATTCAGTAGGTGATTAGTTGATTTAGAATTCATTGCTGATCAAATTCAATTCACTCTGAACTCCAAAATGTTTCATTAGTTTCAAGGATAAAATATGATGCAGGCATCTTACAGTAAGACCCTTATTTTCATATGGTTTGGATCGAGTTATGATGTTGATGATTTTGTTGACTAATTATAATAATCAATAAATCAAACCGTGTTACTATATCTTAAGTACTCATTCCCGGAAAATTTAGCTGCTAATGTGGCAACTATGTTCACAAGAGACAAATATAAAGCAACAGGTGCTAAAACAAATGTTGCCAAGTTAAAATTTCTCATTCTCCGCATAACTTCACTGTTCTCATTTCTCAGTATTATTGACAAGAATACAGTGATGCGAGTACTAAAACCAATAGAAAATGAAACTAAGATGGCAATTTAGTATTAACTGATTCAAAATGTGTTCCTTTCCCCAGTATGGTAGGTAGGTATTGTATATGTGATTTGATGTACAGGTTAGTACCTTAACTTGAAAGTACCTACTTTACTGGAAGGTATTTGAAACTGAATGTCATGAATATCTGCACTGTAATGCAATACTGAATGAAATTTCACTTACGTTTTTGAATTATCCGCCAACAGTTGGTATACTTAACGAATTTTCAGTTAGGTAGATATTATTGAGCTATCTGACAGTATCTGTATCATTTGCTGAACTGAAAAAAACAATAAATGCTCAATATCCGACTAATCATAGGTTTCTGTCGAAATTGGCATCTGTGTCAAGTCCATTGTGAATTTAATTGTCACCCGCGAAAAGGTATATAAGGGCATTTTTACCAATCCAAAATTGCTCGCGCACTGACATCACACGATTCGTGTCCATGTCTGCCCGTTTGAATTCTCTTGTTCATTTTGGCGTTATCAATAATTTTTCATACGATGATTTGATGGAAACAAATCTCCAACAATGAATTCGAGGTATTCTAGAGCCATGAATTTCGAGATATATGTTTCTAGAAATGGCTGGGAATGCTCATTTTGCGATACTATGGTTCAATCAGAGTCATAATAAAGACGACTTCTCTTCCTTTTTCAGTTCCCGTTGAAGCCCCCACCAATATGGAGGCCCTCTTGCTCAATTCGACGTCAGTATTCCTGAAATGGAGGGCCCCACCTCCTCAAACCCTCAATGGCGAGCTGCAAGGCTACAAGGTCGAGATCCGAACGAATGGGACGGACGAAGCGAAGACGATACCGGTAGGAAAAAAGTCGGCCAGCCTGCTGCTGGGTAGTTTGTCGCCGGGGATTTCCTATTTCGTGCGAGTAGCTGCAACCACTAGAGCGGGATCGGGACCATTTAATCCAGCTGCCACGCTGAGGTTGGAACCAGCTACCAGGGTGTCTGATGACAATTTCCAGAGGTAAAGTTGAGACGAACATATACTGATTAAAAATATATGGAAAACCATAGTTTTGATGATAATTTCGAAATTTTACACGTAGAACATTAAGGAATAACACTCGATCATTCGGAATCATTAGAAGTCAACAAATGCAAGAATTCTAACATTTCACTCAACCATTAACCATACCTCAATAATTCACCGCTGTTCGTTTCCTCATTAGGTAATATATATTTACTATCAACCCTTTCAAGTTTATCTGGTACACCGAATCTTAATATATATATTGTGCCTGTTTTCCGAAATTGAGGATTTATCGAACATTTCCACAGGTGATTTTAATCCTTTAGGTTCGACAAGTAGGATGAAAAAAGTTAGGCATGTCAATGTAAGTTTGGTTTATTTATTGTGTCAGTATTCCACCTACATTAAAATACTCAAGTGACGTATTCCTGAGACAATTCAAAGAAAAAAGGAAGAATAAAGTCCATAGGCAAAAAAGTTGTTTATTTTGACAAGACCTATCACATACTTAGTTTCGTAATATTCTCAACAACTTCAAGTAACATGAAACCAATACTTTTTTATGAACAATTTTCACGTAGTTTCTAAAAGAATATTAATAAACTAGCTTTACCCGTTGGAGCCCTCAAATAAATACTCATCAGAGATCATTACAATAAAACTGAATCAATATGATTCAGTATTAAAAAATTACTACATGCAATGGAGTTTGAAAAACTGAAAACATGCTTTATTGAAATGATTTACTACAAGGAAAGTTGAAATTCATTTCACTACAACAACATGCTTCCGCGTGGATTATTTGTTGCACCCTGTCTCTCGAGTCTAGATGGACCCTTTCAGGTAGTATTGACTTCATGCATTTTGGTTGCACAGAAGACTAAAACGTCAATGTCATTCGTGGTCGAGTCACTGAATAGCAAAAAATCTGAAGGGTATCTCTCATGCAGTAATGAATTTGCACCTTCGAAGTGCCCACCTGATGTAAGGTTAGATATTTGTCATTTTCATTTCATATTATCTAAATAATCCGAAACTTACGAATGCCAAAAGACGTATTCTAATAATTAATATCTAAGGTACTTACGTATAGTTTCATATCTGATCGTTGGATTATTTGTGTCCAACAATCATGGCTGCCAAACTAATTTGTTTCACTCGTATCTTTTCAAGTATCCTATGTCCTTTCAATACATCTATATGTATACAAAATTGCATGATAATCGGTTATGTAGTTTTGGCGTTAAAGTCCGGCCAACAAACTTATATTCACATTTATAATTCTTCATTTTGTTCGATTCCTTAGTAAGTAATAATATGTATTTGGTATCAACGCCCTTTCAAGTTAATCTGGTACACCGTATTTTAATGTAGATATTGTGCCTAACTTCCGGAAATGAAGGTTTATCGAACCTGTCCTTCAGGTTGGGAAAGTAGGATACAAGCAAACCAATGTTAGTTTAGTTCATCGTACCAGTATATCACTTGATACCTACTGTGTTATAGCGGAACATGTCGTGTGTTTGAGAATTTTGTGGAAATCTTTGGGTTCGTGAAGTTGTTACATGAAACAATGTTTGTTCTATCACTTCCGGTTTTACTGGAAACGACCCCTATTTTTGATTTTCAAATGGGGCATCCTGTATTCTATTCCATGATCGGTTAGGGATTGTCATAACGAATTCATCAATACTGGTTTTGATAGGGTCATTCCAAACGATTACGCAGATATTGGCGTTTTAAGTTTTCATGTGCCCAATGAGTGTGAAAGAGAAATAAGTTTTGATATTGCAAAGTCACACCCGTTGAGCATATGAAAACTGCGAACGCAAATGTTTTTCTAATTGTTTAAAATAACCTCATCAAACCCGGTATTTTTGAATTCGTCATGATAATCTTTAACCGATTATGGAATACAATACGGGTCCCATTTAAAAATCAAAAGTTGGGGTCGTTTCCGGTGAAACTGAAAGTGATAGAAAAAAAATTGTTTCATCGATTAATGAGCAAATTAGGGATACTTGCTACCCATCAATTAACCCCATCTAGAATAATTGAAAAGTTACAATCCTAGCCATTTTTTGTGCACTTCTTTGTATGATGACTAGAAGAAAATCATTGGTTCTTTTCCATCAGTTTCGAATTCAAAAAAATCCATATCATTTCAAGCTAAAGTCTGAATACATCTTAATATGGCAAATAATTATAAAAACAGAGGGTATAAGTTCTGATTTACACCCTCTGTATTTAATGTGTGCTGATTCTCCCACAGTATCATAGCTACATTCGAAATTGACGAAATATTATTTTAAAGGAACTAGATTCTTAGTGGTACGACGTTAAATTTATTGAGAACTGCATTTTATCAATCATTTCCAGACCAATTGGGGCCGACATGCAATCTGGAGACTTCATCACCGAAACCTGGTTCATGGCCCTCCTGATCAGCATGGTATCCGTGATGGTACTCCTCTTCGGAGCCATGCTATTCGTCAGACGCCGCCAAATGCTCTCCAAGAAGAGCATGACCCCAAGTCGTTCCAATGGTGGTGTCCTAACGACCCCTATAGGCTCCAAGCAAGAAGCACCTCTGTGGCTAGACAAAGACACCCTACCGGACTACACGACCACCCTTCCAGAGTATTCCAAACTCACCCCGAACAGCGCCAAAAGAAACAAATGTCTCAGTAACGGGTTCGGCAATGCTTCTAGCATCACTTTGCGGTCGAACCCTCTGCACCAAAACGAATTCACTAGGCCCGACAATCTGCAGTATAGTTCCGAAAAATACTATCCTGTTAGTGGAAGGGCTTTTGAGGATTTTCCCAATATGCAAGTGCAAGAATACGCTAGCCCTAATATGGACCCGAAGATGCAGGTTGCTGACTATGCCGAGGTGAATGCCAATGGTATGTTGGATAACGAAGGAGGGTCCACTTCTCCTGCTCCATATGCTACCACAACCTTGGTTTCGGCTGGTAAAAGGATGGTGAGTCCCAGTTACGCGTCATTGATTTATTGTGAATGACTTGTCAGTGTTACAGTGATCAGTGTTAAAGTAAGTACTCAAAAAATTCTGCTAACAGTTACAATAGTGAAATATTAACACCTCCGCAATGTTAGATTCAGAAATTATTATAATTATTATATATACTGAGTTTGATATTTTTGAAAAACTCTTCAGAAGGTTTTTCGAATGGTGGGGAAATATATAGGGTGCTCATTTCAAAATTCATATACCTACTTTCTACTGCTCCCTGTAAATCATTTCAGATAGTGAAAATGCATTCGTCAATTAACGAAGTAAAAAAAAATCCCCTGTGAGACTGTTTTTTTTTCCTGTACTGTCGAAAATGAAACAATTATAGGGGGTGGTACTTTTCATAACATGTCACCCGGTACAAGAATAGAGACTACACGATTTATGTCCTTCATTAGACCTTTTTTCGGCCTTTGTTGATTGAACTTGGAAATCCTAGAGTCACAGGTCTCATAATATAGGTTCTACTCAGAATTTTCAACTCTTTCGAGTGAAAAGAAATTATCAAACACAATTTCGTGGCCTACTGCGATCACAACAGCAAAATTGAAGAAAACAAATAGGCACTTTTTTACTAATATTTTGATAATGACAGTCGATTGAGACTAGGGTCCCTCGATGTAAATTGACGTATTTGTCATCTTAACAGGGTACGGACAGATCCTCGTCTCCTCTCAATCTGAACTGTTTGTTGAACTGTTATATAGTTCCATCTTTATTCATTTCTGGGGATACACAGAATTTCTTACATTTGTTGTTTTTAAGGTTATATTGATGACATTGGCGTATCATACGTAATTTCCACATGTAATTTCTCATTCAACTCTACATATTATATCCAAATGATGATGATTATTTTCGAGTTTTTGATTTTACAACTCCAGCAGCATGATCTTTGTGAGGTATAGTGAGCAAATTTCTTTGTAAGTTTGATACGTTTAACCAAATGGCGCTGTTCTTAGGCAGTACCTACCTATCAATTAATGAATTTCGATTTCAGACTAAGCCTTATGGTTGAGAAATGGTGAAAAATGTTATGTAGGTATTTAAACTAATTTGCTAATATATCATGTGTGCTGTATATATTCATGTTGGGAATCATTTTTGCAGTTTTTCACGAACACTTAATATTTCCTGAATGTGGAAATAATTTTGTGTGTTAATCAAAATTGTTTCTACTAAATTGCATTCAAAAACTCGTGGAGTGGATAACTATAGGCACAATGAGAAAGTAAAATATGTGATTTCGTTTTAGTTTCACCTCGAATATTTTGCTGATGTATTTACCAATTTTCCTCATTCGGTCACTTCACTTTTCATGTTCTAAGTTCATTTGCATTTGATGGAAATCTGACAAATTCAAATTTGCCATCCAACTGATTGATACAGCCTAACGCAGAACATTTTACCATCCTTCCAAAACAGAATTGAATAATGTCGTATTAAGATCAAGTATGAAATTAAAATTTTGTAAGATCTCTTTTAACGCCTATGAATGTGACGTGACAGCAATGTCATGTCAGGGACGCCAATATAAAAAACCAAAGTCACTAGATGATTGAAAGAGAAAGGAGCTATGATCTGTCCGCACTCTCTGTTAGATGACAAATACGTCAGTTTGCATCAAGGGACCCTAATTAAGACTAGTCACAAATACTCCTATGTCAACTTTCAGAACAATATCTTATGAGGGGTGTTTCTTATCAAGGTTACAATTTTTGAATAATTCATTTTTCAAATCACCGTGTATAATTATCTGTGTACAGAGTGTGATTAATTACGAATAAAATCACTAAAAAAATTAATTTTCCATCAAGAAATAAAAAGAAGAAGAAAAAAAAATACCATTAAAAAAATAACATCAAATAATTAAAAGAATAAATAAAATAGCAACCATTTCTAACAAATTCAGATATTAGTATTCTCGATTAAATCTTCTTCATTCTCTATGGTCTTTGATTGACGATAGCGACCTTACGAATTCGGAGATGAGGGAAATAAAGATGTAATTCGACGCAGAATTTGATGTTCTTCAATATTGAATACAATGATAGTTTTCGTCCTTTATGTCGTTTGCAAGATATGAGCGAAAAAGCTGAAAAACTCCGAACATTTGGAGGTTCCTTGCGTTTTTCGACCTGAGTCGGACCTGCTATATACGCAGCAGCAAATTTCAGAATCGCTTCCTGACCTCTATAGAAACATATGATTCTGTAAAGAACCTTTCTACCGGATTCAAGTTACGATAGGAGCACTATATATATAGATTAGACTATTTGACTAGGATCCATGTTCATTACTCCACATTTCCAGAAATGGAACAACTTCGCATCGAGCGCCGACGAAGAGAGCCCCTATCCTGCCGCTAACGGCGGCTACTACAACCGCAAGGTCTACTCCGACTCCTACTTCCCGCCCCTCCACACGCTCAGGCGCAACAGGAACGCCAAGAACGCGGCTCTCTGCCCCGCCAACCGTGAGTCGGGGTCGTCCAGCGGCTCGGCGGGGCAGCCGCTTTACGCCCGGGCGGGGTCGCCTGCCAGCTCGGCGGGGCAGCCGCTGTACGCCCGGGCGGGTTCGCCTACTGGATCAGCTGGGCAGCCGGTGTACGCCCGCGTGGGGCCTCCCGGGCTGTCATGGCGGCCCGACGCGCCCTCTATGAGCAGCTTCGCGCCCCAGCACCGGCAGGGGTGCCATGGGTCGACCAGGTCGGAACCGGGAGACATGTAATGGGTAGATTATGGACGATCATTTCGGTTTTAGCAGGATCATGTTACGCTCCATTTTTTCCTCTAGTTTTGAAGTTGAAAAATTGGAATTTTGAACGAATTTCATTACTGATAAACGTCACTTTTGACGCGCTGCTTTTTGCGTATTGGATATCAATATTTGTTTTTTTCCAGATTGGCTACGATTCTGTCATTTCTCGAAATACCACGTTTAGTTTTGTCATGTCAAGAAAATGCTGATTCTAATTTCAAAGGCTGATACATGAAACATTAATTATAATTACATTTTCACTACATTATAATTACATTTTCACTAGCCGCGAGGAACCCGTTCATGCAACTTATGCTCATAATGAACTAATTATTCGACGTTATGTGATCTACTTGGATTTCACAAATGTTCACAGGTTATTTGAGAATATGGATTTATTTTGAATATAATATCTGAGGTGAATCACAAATAGTTTTGTGGAAAAAATGATCATTCAATGAACTAATCTTGCAAATCAGTCGTTTTCACTAGAACTATAATGTAATTATAATAAAAAATTAGAAGTTGGTCAACTTCTAAGTGCACAAATGTGATGAAAATGTGTAAATGTGTTGCATGAACGCATTCTATGACATAGGAGTTTTCAACTTTCTTAATTTATAATGTAATGAAAATGTTATTATAATGACTGTTGCATGAATCGGCCTCAAATTCCAAACTTTAGATGGAATTCGTATAGAATCTTTGTGCAGTGGATAAAGAAAAAGCAGAAAATCCCGGATACAAATGTGTGATCACCGGATGTGGGAATACTTCTGGAAGAAACAATTGATAACTCATTATCTCTTGAGATTCCATGAAATATTCACATAGGGAGGGAATGGATGAGAATCATTCGATATCAGCCAAGGGTTAGAATGAAATCATGCTATGCCGTAAAAACACAAAAAGTTTCCAGTATTAATTTTGGTCTAGGAGACCCTAGACGGTTGAAAACTGTCCAAGGGTCCACCAAGTTATTTCCCTGGAGAACAAAATCTGGAATCTCGAGATAACCATCAGCAAGCAATGCATACTGTTCCTGTATTTTATATTCCCTATTGTGAAGGACGAAACGAACATTTTATGTATAACTCATAATATTCAATCACATATCGATGGTTCCTCGCGAGAATTTGAATTCAGTGAAGGTGGATAACCTCTATATGAAATTCCTATTCGAATTGAATGAGGTTAATTTTAGAAATAAAATTTATTAAGAATGAACCAGTGGGCTAATTATCTACTTAACTGTATCTTAAACATATTATATCTTTCCCTATGGCCTCGGAAGGAACCTTTTTGTCGTTTCATATATTCCCTCATATGGTTATTTGTCGAACTTTCGACACCATTCTTCAGAAAACTTTTGTCCTTGGACCCTTCGGTAAATTCATTCTAGAAGGAAGATACGCTGTTAAATTATCATGAGAGAATTATGAATATTCGCACTTAATTTTCATATCCTATTGATGGTTCATATCTCGATGAAAGTACTTTGAAACCAGATATAAATTTAAATTTTTGAATTTGACGCGTAGTGGATGACTTCGTTTTCAAATTCTGCGCATGATATTTTATTCGTGTTGCCAATAAAAGGATATTCGATTTGATATCCCGAATTGATTTCAACTCAACTTGGGCCTCATTCTGCGTGAAATATGGTCCATTATTGAATTTTACATTTCTAATTCTCTCAACTCAATAATGATACCACAAAGAAGACATTTGAATTAACCATAACAATAACAGCAGCGTTTCTCATACAGTTGGGCGCGCTTCCTAAGGGGGGTAGTTGGAGGGGCGCACTACATATTGAAAATAAAATGATGATGATGAAATACTATAGATAGATTTAAAATAATGAATAAATTCAACGATGACAAAGAAACATTCCAAGGACTAATATGAGGTTGTTTGAGGGCGCACAATGCACTATTCACAACTTCTCTAATTTTGGTTCCATGTTATAAAGATGGTTATTTTGATTTAACAAAGTTTGACCTTTATAAGGTGCGGATTGGGGGAGAAGGCGCAATATTTTGCGAATTGAAATACAGAGAGGCGCAAAGAATAAAAAGTTTGAGTACAGCTGCAATATAGTTTCAGTTTTCTGAACGATGAGTTACGATTTACTCTCATTTCCATATTTTCTAGCGACAATTTCTTTTGACCAATTCAAAATAATACTGAAGAGCTCCTGGTATACGTCCATAATTCATCAGTTGAGAATAGATTGGGATTATTATATCAATTTGGAGATTCATTCATAGTCTCACGACAGTGATACTGCCTTAATGAATAGGCGATGGCTAACACAGATAACAGAGTGACGTCAGATTATTGACGTCATTTTGGGTCATAATACAGGGTGTCCCAAAATTGCTGGGACACAGAGCTACCACGTGTAGAGGAGGTCAAAATAAGTTGATTTGACCCAATTTATTTATGTGCCAAAATGTACCGTTTGTCCGTGAGAAGGGTTCAAAGTTCACTTGAAAAAACACATTTTTGTACGCTGTTCAGGAATAAGTGGAACGAATTTGATGAAATTTGGCAATAGTGTATTTCAGAGGATTACTTTCCTTTTGGTAATCTAAGAAACCTAAAAGAAATTGTAGAAGGGTTGAAACCACCCTCACCCCCTGACGTTTTCTTCAGAACTTTTTTAAGGGTCATGATACGGTTCTGAAATTTTTTGAGCTTGAAGACTCATCAATTACCTTCATTTCATCACTCTTGTAAAAAAAAAATTCGTATACCAAATAGTTTCGAAGAAAAAAAATGTTCTCTCAAATAATGCTACCAGATATTCCTATAGTACAAGTTTAATTAAATTGTGATATAATACTTAGTTGGCAGTGGAAACGCAGGCAAGTCGTGATTTCGACAGGAAACAAATTTATTGTCATTCAAGTTTGTTGTTGACGTTGTCTGTAAATGTTTCAATAAATTCTTCAATTTTGTTATTACCGCGGGTACCATTACTATAGGAATATCTGGTAGCATTATTTAAGATAACATTTTTTTTCTTCGAAACTGTTTGGTATACGAATTTTTTTTTTTACAAGAGTGATGAAATGAAGGTAATTGATGAGTCTTCAAGCTCAAAAAATTTCAGAACCGTTTCATGACCCTTAAAAAAGTTCTGAAGAAAACGTCTGGGGGTGAGGGTGGTTTCAACCCTTCTACAATTTCTTTTAGGTTTCTTAGATTACCAAAAGGAAAGTAATCCTCTGAAATACACTATTGCCAAATTTCATCAAATTCGTTCCACTTATTCCTGAACAGCGTACAAAAATGTGTTTTTTCAAGTGAACTTTGAACCCTTCTCACGGACAAACGGTACATTTTGGCACATAAATAAATTGGGTCCAATCAACTTATTTTGACCTCCTCTACACGTGGTAGCTCTGTGTCCCAGCAATTTTGGGACACCCTGTATAATGAGTGAACATCTGAGAGACCATATTATGACGTCAAATGTTACAATGTCGACATGTCGTTCCAGAATGAAATATGAAGGACGAAATCCAAAGACATCCTCAAGATTATAATATATATACAGGGTGTTGAATGTACATACGATACTGGCAGATAGAGGACACATTGACTGTTTCAAATCACCCCCATTGATGTGTTCCCCGTCTTTTATAACTGAGATACAGGACGTTATTTGATTTGGTCAAAATCTTCATCTGGACATAATTTTTTGACCACGTTGTATAATCTATTCATACTTGGTAGAAATATTCCACTTATATCACACATCAAAACTAATCGAGTTCAGAATCCTGGTCCGTCTCGAGGAAAAACAGAAAACTTCGTTATTTCAAAAACAATACTCTGTATGACAAAATTTTGTGGATTTGTTTTGATATTTCGAACGCACATCCAATTTGACAGATGGTTTATTATTATGTTTTGAAATATTCACCCCATTTCGAGGCATTTTTATTGACCTGTAATTGACAATCCAATTTTGATGCAAGAAAATAATTGTCTTTAAAGTTAAACTTCATTAGAGTCAAATCAGGTGAACTATTGATTGATTTGTTTGTTTGACAGAATATAGCTTGTCAACGATTTTGAAAATTTTCGAAGACATCTTTCACTATTTTTTCATAAACTGCAGTGAACTAGAGGCAGTGCAAAAAATTTTCAAATTCTGACAGATCTTAATGATCAGTGTGATATCATTGATAACAATAAGTTTATTGTGTTGAGGCATAGTTATAAACATTTTGAAATGTAACAACCCAATAAACAAGTACCAACAATTATCTTAACGTTACCAATAATATCAAACTAGTGATTATGAACTGTCAGAATATCAGATTTTTCTGCACAGCCTACTTCACCGCAGCTCATGAATCAACAGTGGAGAATGAAACGAACCCTCAAAAATTTCCAAAACCACAGACGTTATTCTGTCGAACGAACAGATGTATCTATTTTACTCCAATGATGTTGAACTTTGAAGACTGTTATTATTTTGTAAGATAATTGGATTTTGAATTACGAGTTCAATAAAAATGATTCAAAATGGAGCCGATATATCAGAAAATCAAAATATCTGTCAAATCGGATGCGCGGTCGTGAAAAGTAGGTCACTTCATGCGTTTTTTCTTGCTCTTTTCAAATATCGAAAAAGATCGCCAAACTTTTGCCATACAGAATGTTGTTCTTTACACAGAAGATTTCTTGTTTTTCCTCAAGGCGGACCTGGATTCTGATACCGATTTTCATTTAGTTTTGATGGGTAATATAAGTAAAATATTTTTATTATTCCAAATTTTTTGGGATTTTCTCTCCTCGTTTCTATAAAATAAAAATATGAATATTATTTCAATATACGTGTAGTAAGGACAAATCAGATGATTTGTCCCAAAATGTCACTGCGTTTAAAGAATTTTCCTATCAGAGAGCCTAACAGAAAAATTCACTAGCTTGTCAGTGACAATTTGTATTGAAAAATTTTTGGAGAAGATAAATAAAGGTATATATATAGAAAAAATATCAAATTTTCACTTATCTTTGGACGTTTCGGGACCGATTCTGCTCCCGTTTTCAACATGAAGAGATTTTTTCAATTGCGAAGTCGTACAATATGTCTTGAAGCTTTTCAGTTTTCAATGACAATTGGTAACGTTGGCAATCAAAGGAGTTACAGGATGTTTTCATTGATTAATCTTGAATTTACCATTTTCATGTTCAGATTTCAGTAGTGAATACCATGTTCTGTCTATATCAACTGAACAAGAAGCAATGCTATTGTCTCCGTTCAGAAGAATGCAAGCAGATTCCTACACGTATATTGAAATAATATTCATATTTTTATTTTATAGAAACGAGGAGAGAAAATCCAAAAAAATTTGGAATAATGAATGTACCACCTCCTCGATTAACCTACAGACAGTATTTAAAATATTTTTACCTAGTATGGATAGATTATACAAAGTGGTTCAAAAGCTATGACGTCCTGTATCTCCGTTATAGACACATATCAGAGGGGGGTGATTTGGAACCATCACAGTGTCCTCTAT